ATCACGCTTGACGTTAAAATAAAATGATTTTTCACGCTAACGCTAATTTCTAGAGGGGAATCACGAGTCACGCCAGGCCAAAAATCACGCTTGACGTTAAAATAAAATGATTTTTCACGCTAACGCTAATTTCTAGAGGGGAATCACGAGTCACGCCAGGCCAAAAATCACGCTTGACGTTAAAATAAAATGATTTTTCACGCTAACGCTAATTTCTAGAGGGGAATCACGAGTCACGCCAGGCCAAAAATCACGCTTGACGTTAAAATAAAATGATTTTTCACGCTAACGCTAAAATATATGGCCATTTCACGCTTCACGCTAAACCCCATCGGCACCCTCTTGTAAGCACCCACCGGTGGCGTACAACCCCCCCCCCTGGCGTGTCAACGGGTATTGCGTTATAACACTCTTTTGGTTTTGGCTATAATTTCAATAATAATCACCCGATTTATTCATGAAATAGCTCAAATGATTCGTAGATTCATATACTATACTATTCTAGAAGCAATTTATTGAGTGTAGCTATCTTTAAGTTGTAATAAAATAAGGTTGAAACAAATCTCAAATAGGCCTAATGTCAAAAATCATCGTAACTGCCGTCTTGTTAACATAGTGTATTTGCCAACTAAATAAGGTGCATTTTGACATATAGCATGCTCATGCAGACTAGATAATTTTTGATATATCGGTCATTTAATATACTAGTGGAAGAAAAATATTCATTTTTGAACCATTTTATTGTTTCAACCTTATTTATTTCAACTTAAAGATAACGACACTCAATAAATTGTTTCTATAATATTAGTATAGATCTCTACGAATCTACGAGGCCTATAGGCCTACTAATTTCTCCAATTTTGTTTCCTTTATCTCTGTGGTACTCTGATATTAGCTAATGATACTAACTTGGGAACTCGTGAGGTTCCCCTTTGTGATAACGCTGATAAAGGGGTACTTTCAAATCATTCCATCCGGTTTACCCCCAAGGTACTGTACTTGATCCATTGTTGTTCCTATCCTTTATAAATGATTTGTTGGCCAAAACTGACTCGATCTTCTACTTCTACTCGTCTCTTTACTGGCGACTCCGTTTAACACGCACTAACTCCAATGAGGAGGATCAGTTAGCCCTGCAAAGTATCCTTACTCGTGCTGAGAAGTGGGCAACAAATTTGGGTATACTGAAAATGAAAAATTCTTGATTGGCCTCGTGTTCGCGTCCACTTCCACCATACAAAACTTATAACGTTTCATAAAAAAATTTCATAGTTAGGTGAAGATTGGCATTCCCTCTTGATTTAAAGCCAATTCGTAGCACTCAATCATTTGAGCGTGATTATTGCTTTCATAATGTGCCATCTTCAAATGTTAACTTCATCGTTTCTGTCGTCCCATCTTGGAATTCTCTTCTTTCCCATTTGGTTTAATTACAAAATTGAAGCCTTTTCTACTGCGATCCGCAATATAGATCTGTCTATTTTATCAACTTTGTCGCCTTCTGTCTTCGATGTAGTCCCTTCGGCTTTAAAGAATAATTTTTATGAGGTTATGAGGTTTTACTTAGCCCTCTGCTTAGCCCAATAACAGTGTATTATTCGTTACATGTCGTACCGAAAGGTGTCGCTCCGATGTCACTGCCCCAGATTAGAGGTCACGTGGATTAACCAATATGGCAGCGGTGAAATCACCATCTCTTAATGGATCTGTGCCGAATTTATCTTCATCGTATGGCTCTTCATTAGAAGATGTTGACTTATTTGAAGCAACCACACTACAGGACGAAGTATGCAGCGCTTTTCTATAAAGTTTCATCTGTGTTATTTGGTTCCAACTCGTGGAAGATGGTGGATGATTGAGATAACCAACTCGAGCAAAAAATGTTGTTGATTGACTGGTCTATCTTATGCAGTTGCCGAAAAATGTTATTCGTCATACTAGTTATATCCAAACGTACTGCCTGCACATGTAGATCACAAGAATAAGTAATTTAGTCTCCGGTCGAAGGACCGAAAATTTGTATCTTGTATACTAATTCTATATATACTAAAAGTAAAAAGTAATATAGTAATAACACTGTTACCGTAATTATAATTATAAATACTATACTATAGTAATAGTAATAGTATTAATATTTCAGTGACAGTGTTAGATTTGTTTATCGTTGCACGGAGTCTATATCGATGTGTATCAATAAGATAACAGTGCTGCCGTCATTAGTTGGAGGTGCATATGTGACTATTTGGGGGAAATTTATTGCTACGTACCAAAAACCACAATGTGCATAACATCAACTATTAGTATAGTTCTGCTGCTACCCCAGAATCATGCCAAAGTCCCAACAGTATTGTACTTTTCGTCATGGCTGACAAAGGAAAGTAAATTGTTTGCAGTCTCAGTTATAGACATTTGTGGATAATACTAACTATGACACAAAGAGAGAGAGAGAGAGAGCGAGAAAGAGAGCAAGAGACAGACATAGAGAGAGGGGGGAGAAAGGGAGAGAGCTGGGGACTTTTTGTTTTGAGCCGGAAGCTAGAACAATATGGCAGTCAATTAATTAGTGTGATGTTGTATCAATTGCTGTTTGTCTAATTAAACTAAATTACAATTTAATATCTTTAATCACCTGTCTTGATCAGTATTACAGTAATAAGAAGCGGCGTTTCTTTGGAGTTTTCCTATGTGAACGTGACCCCTTTGTAAAAAATTATTATTTGGCAATGTTTTCTAGTAGGGCTTGCCATTTGTTCGCATGATGGTAGCTAGTCGTGATGGGAGCAGCTGTGTGAGTTTTTAATGTAGTGCTGGGGATCAACCTACCAAGTTCACGGCCTTGTATGTAATACACATTGAATCGCAGGCGATTTCACCCACCTTTTAAAATTAATCGGATTATGGCATGTATAACACTGTTGACACCAGTCGAAATGAAGTCCCGTTGTCGAAATTAAGTTCCGTTAGGAACTAACTCGGAAGCGATCATGAATGCTTAGTGATAGTAGCAGGGAAAGGCTCTGTTGGGGCTGAAAGTAGGGCTAGGGTTGAATTTCACCATGACATTGATATAATGCGTAGAGGTTGCTCTCTTTGTCGTATCGTTTCTGAAAATTGATAGATGTCTGTGGCAATAAACAGTGGTCGGCCATCTGGTTTGCTGCTGTGCCTTTCCATGATGAATATCTTATTGTCTGTCTGTTCATCGTTCCCCTCACTAAAAAGTGTTGATAAAATGTGAGTTGCCTTGGTTTTCTTTTTTTATAGAAAATATTTGCCCTGGTGTGCCTACTTTGAAAAGAATATTAACCTTGATGTCCATCCAGTTTGTCATGAATCTTAAATCTTTGATATATCCATTTGTAATTTCCATCATCTAGAAAGTGATGGAAACTGTGCTGTGGTATTGGTGAGCGCTGAAGAAAATGGGATGTTATTATGTTTGGTTGTGGAAATATATTAAAATTTGGCACATGTCTGATGTGATGACTGGGAGTCAATAACATTTGCTTTATGCTAAAGTCTAATTTATGCTAAATACTAGTCATTGATTGGGCAGCACGAGAGTCGAAGCTTGTATTTGGTTAAAATCACGTGGTCACGGAAAGTGGATGTTTTACGTCCTTGGAAACTCGTGGAAACACGTTTTACCATAGGCAGGGTGTTAGCCAGGGAAAAAATCAGGGAGTCTCACCATCTGAGCGAAGCGAGGATGCTGCGGGCGCGAAGCACCAGAGGGGGGAGGGCCTTACCTTAAAATGGAGGAAATTTAGTCTGAAATGCCAAAAAGATGGGAAACTGATATGATTTTATATTCTTATAAGTACTGTTGTCACTTATACAAGGTGTATATTATATATAATTGGGCCGCCCTCATGCCGTCTCTATAAAATTTCATCCGTCTCATCCAAGAATAGGCCGTCCAAAAGACGGGTAGATGGGTCTCTGGCTAACACAATGACCTTAGGCATAAAAACCCCTTGTTTCACTTCTGCAGGTTCGAAATATACAGAGCGTCATTCGGCTGACGAAGGAGAACCTGGAGCAGCTGAATGCGACGTTTGCTGATGCTGTACATCCGCCGTCGATGTACCTAGCTGTGAGTATAAACGACCAACATGCTCCTCAGGGTTGCTCCTCAGGGTTGCTCCTCAGGGAAAATTAGACAAAGGAAGTAATGGCCAGTTTAAGAGAAAAAAACGCGCACAATGGATTCAAAGGCATGCCGTAGGCACCCATGCGGACGCTGCAGGCTGAAACGCATAATGCATAAACGCACATGGCAGTCTAAATATGCCAGAAGCACGTGGTGATCTATTTATTTTTGGGTTGACACTATTTTGACAACGGCGGGTAAGTATAGGAACATTTTCACAACGGCGATGTTAAATTTGACAACGGCGGTGCGCCACTGTGCCTCTTATGAGTAAGAAACCCAGCTTCTTGCTACCCACAGTGGACTGGTCACAAGTTCACAACACATGTATGCATCTTGCTTGCATACTTTTATCATATTCACTGTCGGTTAATTATTTGACCTGGTCTACCTGGAAGTGAGTCATAGTTACTGTATAAATTAGCATTTCAATAGACATGATAGAAGCATTCTCAAATGCCCCTTATCAAAGATGTGCATCAATTAACCATTTAGCATGCACACATGAAAAATTTAAATAAGCTGATCTAGTTTTACCGACCTAGCTGTGATATCCAAGTGCAGCATGGTTAGTTCACTCAGACAAATCGGTCGTTGAACAGTAATGGTTACGGCAGACCCAAATGATTTAATTACGATTCCTGTTCATCAGCAGCGACCTTCAATGTAATTGGCATAAATTGCGAGCATTCGATAATATCGAAAGTATTTCGGATTTTCATTTTGGCTTCTGTTAATCATGTGCAGTGCGCAGCGCATTGTTGCAAACTATAGTTATCTATTACTTTCATTGTATTGCGCACTCAGCTCTCACTGGCAGACACACTCACGAGTGCTTGTTGTGACGCATTCGTCTGTGTACGTTTCCTTGCAGGAATATGAGGAACTAACGAACAAATTGAACGAGTTGCAAATGAAGGAGCAGAAACTTCAAGAACAGATCAGCAATGGAAGGGCGTCGCCCGTCCTCCCGTCCCTTCCGCCTGAGCCACCCAACACACCCTTGCTGCTCTCTCCCGGTGGCAGTGGTTACAGCTTTGGAAGCCCAAAGGTGGCGCCACGTTCGCCGCTGAGATCTTTTATTCGGGCACACCTACCTAATCAGCAACGGACATCTGTAAGTACATCTGGATGCGATTCCTTCTTTTCATCAGATAGCTCTTTCTTATCCTCTAATCTCTTTAATCTATTTTCTTATTTCTTATTTATTCAATCTTTTATTTTATTTGTTATTTCTTTAATCTCTTTTTTATCTCAATCGCATCTGTTTGTGAAACGTGTGTCTACGACCTTACTTTGTGTCCATGCAGTTGCTTTCAACAGAGGTTCCAGTACGATCCACTATAATTCACGACCCCCATGGGGGTCATTTGGGGTTTTCCCAGGGGTCATGAAGGTGTCATAAATGAAACAAATCCATTTAAATTCCATATAAATCGGGCTGGTTTTTTTAAAATTGTTGTTTCAGGGGTCACAGTACTGACCAAGAATGTCTGATGGGGTTGTGGGGTCAAAAAGGTTAAGTACCACTGTTCTAGGAGATGGCAGACTGCATTTTATAGTTTATATTGCTCACCATATGCGATATCTGTCAGGTTTCAGAAGGTCACATTGTTACATGTCACTGGACGTTTAGAAATTTGGCTATTTATTCAATAAGGCTACCAGCTAGGATCTTTTTAAACACCGCTAAAGAACGTGTCAAAGAACGCTTGCTGGCAACTGCTGTTCAGTGTATCATCCAGATCTAGTACTAGCCAGCCAGACTACCAGACTTCATGGTAAGGCAGCCAATTTCAATGGAAAGTAACTGCTAGGTAGCGTTTTAGTGAGAATATGCCGGCTCTATATTCTACAGTACACAATCTATTATCCGAAACCGTTGGGACCAGACACATTTCGGAATTCGGAATTTTTTCGATTTCGGAATGGTAGTAGAGTACAGATATACATACCAGTGAAAAAAATACACGGGGGCTCGGGGCGATTTAGCTCCCGAAATGCCAAAAAGAGCCCCCGGAAATTTGCATAGAGTTCAATGCAAACCAAATTTGAGAGTGCTATTTTCATGCACGCGAGCTTGAAAAGTAGCCCCCGACAAATAAATTTTATTTTTTCCCTGATACATACCGTATATCCTGCAACTAGCCAGTACCAAAACCCAAGTTTTCAAGAGGCCAAGTGCTGTGCCGATACAGTACAATATGTATGAATAAAGCCAAACACATTAATACTCGTCGGCTTGAGCTTTGGCGCCAAACGCGAGTCTTGGTGTGCAGACAACCGCTACGAAAAAACTTTCGGTTTTCAGAGTTTTGGATAATAGATTGTGTACTGTATTACTTTATCATTCAAGCCCACCAATCTATAGTAAATCATATTGAATATGTACATTCAAATGTCTCTCGTCAACAGGTGAGCGTGCGTCCGGGCGTCACGTTGCGTGAAGCGTTGTCAAGGGCGCTGAAGCTGCGCAAGCTAACACCGGAGATGTGTCGGGTCTGCGTGCGCGGCACCAGGTGAGTGCACCAGCAGGGAGCACTGCCGGTGCTGTCGAACGGCAGTTGGAAGGCTGCGCTGGCCTGTTTCTATCTTTACGCGTGTGTGCAAGTAGCGAAATACATGAATCGAACCTGTATGTAAGGACAAATCAAGGAAAATGGCTAGACATGGCCTTTCTGTAGAGGTGGCCACCAACACTCGCCACGTAATCTGGTGAGGGCGCCGGTGGTGGTGCGGTGTGCATGCATGACAGTAGTGTTGGGAAACGCTTGGAATTTCATCATCGATCATCGGTTGCACCCAACCGATCAATGATCGATGATAATCGGTTGAATGTTATTGATCGCGGCTACCAGATATTGAAATATATCATATATCATAGAATACATGTTTTTTTTATAATACAATATTCTAAAAGCTATGTAACAGTATTACACTTGCTTATGTTTGGCGTAGGTTAGATTTAAGCTGTCAAGTAACCAAAAAAACACACAGAAATGAAATAAAGTCATTTCATCAATGTTTGCACATTTCATTTTTTTTTAAAGTTGATAATCGATTATATATTTTCATAATCGAGCGTTTAGTCGGTTGCTGCAAACGACCGAATTTCGATTATAATCGATCATCGGGACATGACTACGTGCCGGTGACTACATGGTGTCGTTGTTGTCGTTGTCATCGTTGCAGGGCGTGGGTGTCGTGGGATGTCGACCTCACAGAGCTGGAGAGCCTCGAGATCGAGATTGAGCTGCTCGAACTCTTCGCGCCGATCACGACACGCATCTCGCACAACTTTGTAAGTACGGCGTCGCGTGGGTCGATGCGCCCCCTGGTGGCGGGCCAGCAGGAGGAGCAGAGTGGGTGTTAGTTGCAGTGGCAGTGCTAGAGGCAGGTAGTGGTGGTCCGGTAGCTATAAAAGCGTCACAAGAACGCGGTTCAGGGGCTAGTAGAGAGGGAGAAAGGTCGAGCTTAAACAGCTGAATGTGCGCGGAATGTGTAAGAAAGAATGTGGCGCAATGTGCATCAATAACTGCCGCAATGTATCAAAATGTGTAAAAAATGTGCTACTAAACAGCGGAATGTGTAAGAATGTGGCGCAATGTGCATCAATAACTGCCGCAATGTATCAAAATGTGTAAAAAATGTTATACTAAACAACGAAATGTTATACTAAACAACGAAATGTGCTACTAAACAGCGAAATGTGCTACTAAAAGTTGATATTTGAGAGGAGGCGTGCCTAAGGCACGCAGTCCTAGGTTAGTCCGGGGACATATGCCCCCTCCAACCTGGAAAATTTTGAAATATGTGATGGTTTCTCCTGCATTCTACGGCAATTTGAGAATATATATAAATTCAGGAATTATTTTTATTTTTGGCCCCATTTTACTATAGTATCATAACATTAGTCAGTGGCTAAACGGGATTGCAACCTCCCCCCTCACACACACACATCCGCCCACCCACCCACGTAGATCCGCCACATTTCCATCAGCATCATCATAGGCAGCCGCAGTGTCTATGCTCTTGGTCCAGGAATAATTGTGGATATGAACAGGGATCGGCGAATGCGGCTATGGGGTTGGGACGAGTGGGGCAGAAGTATTCGACGAAATACGGTTGCAACCCGATGGATTATTGTAACAGGGTTTTCTACTGTGACGTTTTCTTATCGTTAGATCTCTCGATTTTTCGGGCTATCGTTGGCCGTGACTGCTTTGCTATCGTTAGTCGCGTCTCGTCCCGTAAAGCACGTCGAGCCTTACTTGATTCGGACAGAATCAGAAGTCTGTGGAGGATGACTCGTCGATGTGTACAACGTCGATAACCAAGACAGGACAGCGAGTTACAGAGAACGAAGGCTTTATTTACAAAACGCGGGCGGCGTCTACACTACGCCCGTCACCGTGCTGGCCCATGAGGCCGCACGCGCGCTCTTAACTACGCGCTATCACAATCGCTCGCAATCCACGTAGTTTCCGCGGACGGTTCACGTAACGAACACGACAGTCGCAGCCTTGAGGTGAGCAGCACACGTTACGCCGTCAGCGTTCAGTTGCTCGACTTTCGTTACCGTGCTAAGCCTAGACTGCAAACTCGTGCTCGTCTACGGAACTCGTTGTTATACACGTGTAGCCATCACGCGTCTCGTTGTGAAGAAGACCACGTGCGCCCGTTGAAGCGGCTTATATATCCTCGCGCCTTCTGGGTAATTCGTCTCGCTCCGCGGGAAGAGACGTGATTTCACCATCACTACATTCCTCGACAGAGGTCGCGGAGAAGGCACGCAAGACTAGCAGGGAACTAGCCGTATCTGCCACACTACCATCTGCTATAACTTAATAGGTGTGTGGGATGATAATGACTGTAGGGTAAAGCTGGTGGTGATCGAAGTCCCATATCGATGTATAGACGAAGTAGCCGACGTGTATTTATTCAGAGGATTCATCACACGGTGCAGTGTGCAACTATCAGAACTGCCGAGAGAGCGGCCGAAGGCCGGCCACACTGGCTCGACCTTTCTCCCCCTCTACTACCGGCCACGAAC